TTTATTTAATTTAATAGCAAACAAATTTATTGATAGAGTTATACTAATAACTAAACAATTAAGTAAATGAATGACACAAATTAACTTGCCTGTTGATTTAATTGCGTTTTAAATGACGTTCAATCAAAATCACGAATTACGTATGATTGGATATTAGTCTAAAATACGAACAAAGGTATCAGTTTTACTATACCTTACCTATATAAATATCTCATACAAAATATATTTCATACTGTGCATCCTTTAGGTGCCTAAATATAGTCTGTTTCTATCTGTGTACTAAAGTTCCAAATACACACCTACAAATTTTCACAAATTTTATAAGATTTAGATATTAAGATTTTTAAATTTAGAAACCTACATCTAGCCTATCTATAGATATATTATAAGGATCACAAAACGAATAGGAAATATCTGTATTATGTAGGATGGTTCTAGAATAAAATAATTCAATGAAGCTTATTTTTTGCCACGATTAATAAAATATATTAAGGCAGACCTTGACCGAAATCGAATCGTGATAAATAAATTAATTAGCTCTTTTTATCGATATCCACAAAAACCACACCACTAGTCGGTAGTGTTACGATGTTTTACTGTATAACTGGATTCGTCTTATTGTCATTCGTTACGTTTTATAATGGGCTGTCTATTCAATAGTCAAGTAGCTGCTGAGTGTTGAGGCAACGCGATTTAAAATTTAAAACCGTACTGCACGAGCTATGGAAAGTTTCCAATGGGATCTTTTTATCTATTGCTTTTAGGTTAATACTTTATATTTTATGCCTTTGTGTATTTGTGTAAAGGCATCACTTAAGTTTTCGTATAGGTTAAAAAAAATACAGCCGAATTGATAACCTCCTACTTTTTTAAAGAAATCGTTTGAAAATAGTACATTGTTTTAAAAGAAAACGTTACTATAGTTACTTATTTTATTTCGATCAATTTAAAGTGTTGTTTTCTTAAATATAAATATTATAATTGAAGTCTGTATGGAATTTGCGCAAAAAATCTCATTATTTTAAATTAAAACTTATCTTTTCGGATTTTTTCGCGAATTTATCGTCAAATATTCGCGTAAATCTAAGAAAGTATTAATTTTACCGGTAGTAGTACTCTGTCAAGCCTTGAGTCCGACTCGATGGTTATCCCCTTTAACTATTTCTCCCGCCAAGCAACAATGATTACATTGTTATATTTCGGTTTGAAGGATAAGGTAGCCAGAGCAATTGCAGGCAAGAGGCATATCAACTTAGTCCTCACAGTGACAACGCACCTGCAGTTCTGCATTTTTGTAACATAAAACCTAAGTGCATGAACCGTAGGTGTTATGGGCGACAGGTACCGCTTTCTATCAGGTGGGCTGTTTGCTCGTTTGTCACTGAATACCATAAAAAAAACCTTATTATGTTACGATACAATAGATTGACTGATAGACTCTAGACAGTGGTATTGTTCAAACGATCGATGTAACATTTTCCTTCTCTAAAACAAGAACTTATTTTATGTATAATTTTAAAATATTTATATGCCAGCTAATGCAATATTCGTTTGAAAACATTTTTTTTAAATACATATGATATTTTTATGGAATTCCGATTTATCACATTGACCGAGTTTTTAATATAGAATTATGCCACTTAAAATTCTCTAGAAGAGATAATATAATATGATATAAGTTAATCAAACGTGAGTTTAGTTTATTTTGTTATATAGAAAATATTAGTACAGTAGAGATAGGCCAAATATATATAATATTGACAACTCAAGGCCAAATTTTCTTTCAAAAACTTTAACGTGATATTCTTTAGCTCTAACGCTATTGGTAGCAAACTCCACGTAGCTCTAATGCAGCAATAGTAGAAAACTATTTTTGTTATCATTTTAAACTGTATAAAAAGAAGTGGTGAAATGCTACGCTACCTCCCGTACTAATTATTTTTATAAGCTTTTATTTAAGTATTAGGTAAATTTTTTGCAACTGTATGTTAAAGCATTCGCTAAACGAATGTACTAAAATTTTGACGAGTCTATACCACACGTGCGTTCTCATTAAAGAAATAAGAACTTTTCAATTGTACAAAATAATTTCACAAAATAAATTATACAAGTTTCAATTTGTTTAAAAGTTTGTCTACAAAAGACAAGTTTTAAGATGGTCAAGAATTGTTTAATCTATCTATCTATACATAAAATTAAAATTGTAACTAAGCCGAATCTGTACATTAGAAATTTTTTGGAAAATCTTATTGAAATAGACATTATTATCGATACAGAGGCCGAATCTATAGTTTTTAGAATTTTTGTCTGTCTGTCTGTCTGTTACCGCATCACAGAAAAACCACTGGAGGGATTTTGATGAAATTTGGTAAGGTGATAGCTGGTTATGCGGGTCAACGTATACTTTTTACCGCAAGAAAATATCTTAATTCTTAGAAAAAGTACAAAAACTGGTTAGAATAAAACCACTATGATACTATATATATTTTAGCAAGTTAACTTACTAAATAATTCAAAATTATTAAAAATAGCTTATCTTGAAAAAGAAAATACAATAGCGCTATTTTATTTGGTTTTTGGTCATCAGAACGCGGGCGGAGCCGCGGGCAATGCTAGTATATTTATATAAGGCATTCTAAGTCTAAAAACTGAAAAGTCAAAGGACGATAAAAAAAGAGAGATTCGATCTGACAACAACAATTTTAGGTTGTGAATGTGTGTGTAGTAATCAGCAAATAAGTACAGCACACACTTGATGAATTTTTTATTCCAAATTATATATATACAATTGACTTATCAAATATACTTAATATATTAGGCTAATATTATAGTCAATATATAAAAGTTTACACTACTTTAGTCTTTATTTTAATAGCCATAAAGTTTAATTTAAATGAAACATAATTTTACAAAACATTACAATCAATTATTGATCTACATTGATCAATTCCAACAATGTAGTCAGTCAGATATTGATACGAATATAGCTCCCATGTCCTAAATGATAAGGATCATAATGCTATACATTATTATGAATATATTATAATATGAACAAGTAACAGGCTTCCGTTGATATATTTGCTTATGTAATAAGGATGACATCATGCACTAATAAGAATTCGAAAGAAATGTATTCGAATTATAGGCGCTATAAATCTTGTCTCGATATATTTTAAATAGAATACGTGTAATATGTACGAGTAAAATACAATTATCATAAGACGGTAGAATAGAATGATCATAATATTGGAGTACTCTAAAACAAAAAATTTGATCTTGCATCGGTTTTTTTCCAGTACATTCGGTGATGTTAAGTCCGATACTTGAACATCCAGCTCTTCCTAGAACAAATGGCGAATAGTTCTGCGAGAGGTGTATTGGTATAACTGACATCAGACATGACGTTTTCTTCTTAGATAGTCGCTTAAACCAGGCGCTCTTGCGTAGCTCCTAGCCTACCTTGAAATCAATTCCCTGAAGTAGTCTTAAAATTAGGGTACCGATTACTCCACACTCCTTTGGGTGACGAGAAAAATTCATGCATATCGTTGTCTAAACAGAGTAATGGAACTGGACTGCTTTGCTTTATTAACAATTATTTCATTTGTTATTCTGTTCTTCCATGTCGTTCCCATGAAACTGTGCATGCAGTATATATTGAATATATGTTTCTGGCGTTTAAGGCTCCGTACAAGTCTGCAATATTTCGATGAAAATCGAAGTAGTTGTTGATCTGTAATCTTGCACGGCCCAAACCTCCCTAGTATTATGGTCAACCACTATTCGGCCAAGCGAAATTATATTAAGATGAAGATGATCACTAGGACCTTGCAGTATTTGCTCACTTTCGATAACACGATGTTTTAGGGGTAGCATTAACATTCACGCCTCGATCGATTTCTTTTTTCTTTTTTTAGAGCTGATAACATAACAGCATCTATGGTCTAAAACCACCACCGTAGGCTGCTCAATTAACCTTATTTGATAATAATTCTACGTCGTTGAGAACCAATAGCAAAATTATGTATATTTTAATATAATTGTTGTATAGGAAGTTACATTATATTTAATATAGCTTCCTATTAGTAAACGACAATAAGAATTTACATGAGTTATGAATGTGATCTGATATAACATAAACAAAACATCACGTTTTGCTGCAACATGTGACTTTTGTTATCTTTATTGCAATCAATATTTATTATTCGTTATAAAAACTAATATACCATATTTTTTATAATACACTAGCTAGTCCTCATTTTCGTTTGATCCTTAGTCCTTACTAATCGCAGAAAAATATTCATTTTTTTTAGTTTTCCTCTATTCCTTGAAAGTAATTTCTTTTGCCCTGACTTAAAAAAAAACCTTTTAATAGGCCTAGAATTTAGAAGATCGTGATGGAACGTGTATTGTAATCACAATTTCACGTTTTTGTGAGCAGTGCTCAAGTGGACCGTGATAAGCGTGATGTATGTATTTATAATTTATATATGGTATAACATAAACAAAACGTCACGTTTTGCTGCTACATGTGACTTGTTTTTCTCTTTCGTCTTTATTATCTCTTTTTCAATCAATATCTATAGAATACGTACGAGTATATCATAAAAGTGTTATCATATCATACTAGCGACTCACCCTCGCTTCGCTCGTCCGTTCCTAGATACGTTTTAAAGGTTAGTATGGAATAGATAGAATATATATTATATATGTACATATATAGATAGGAATAAAAAATGTTTTATGTCCCTTACTTGAGAAATGATTGATACCCCATACAAATTTCCACTCTCCTTTTCACCCGCTCAAGGGTTCATTTCCAGTTTAGAGTCTTAATTATATGGGGGATATAAATGAAATGTAAAATGTCTTTAACACATATATTGTTCCCAAACGTTACACTTATAAATACATATAAGACTCTATAAAAATACTATTGTGTGAGAGAAAAAGAGAGGGGGACCGTCGGGGCACTCGCGAAACTAACGACTGAATTGTTACCACGCCTGCGCTGAAGGCGCGGGAGCGGTCGCGGAGATAAATTCCGCTGACGGTGCTGTAGACATTGCGACGCCACGGCGCGGGCGCCGGATGCGCATTCCGCTGACGCGGCTATCGCCAATGTGTCGCCACAACACTCCCCCCCTTTTTCAAATTTTCACATGAAACATAAAAAAAAAATTCTATCATACAGGTAACCTAAAAATCTTTTTTAACAAACACATTTAACAAATAACACTGTCTTATAATTAACACTAATATCTTATACTAACACTAATGTCTAACACTATCTCAATTTTAACTATAATATCTATTGTGCGTATCCTGATTGCGAGCGATTTTGGTTCGCCTGTGCGGCTAGACCCAACTCGACCGATGATACTATTTCTTTTTTTATCCATTTCTGTCCTTTATTTCGGCAACATTTTAAGATGAAATATCCCAATATAAGTATGCATAATACGACGATTATTATGGAAATTGTTCCGAATTTGTGTAGCTTTTGTTCTAATTGACTGAATGATGCGTCGTTTGCACCATTTTGGGCTATTATTATCTCTTCCGTTTTGTCAGTCTGTTTGCTGTATCCCTTGCCCATTATTAATAAATGTCTAACTGGATGTTTACTCCTAACTACTTCGTCTTGAAATGATGCCGTTACAATAACATTAATTACTTATAGGCTATACTAAATATGCGAATACACAGTATAACTGATTATTAAGCAAAAAATAAAAATGGACTATGTACTATTGTTATTTTGCATTTAATCAAAACATCTAATAAATACTAAATTAACAATTTAAGAAACGCACTGGTGGCTTAATAACTCGGCCACTGCGTGTGGTACAATGTTGCAACGATTCTTTTATGGTATTTGAATTTCCCTTTTTATATTCAACATCACTATCATTAACAATATTACTGTTTTCAGTAGATAACATACTTGTATTATCGATTTCCGTATTTTTTAACAAATAAGCGGGTTTTAACCTATCTATTGCAATTTCCGTTTTTCTATTTGGTAGTAATATGGTGTATGTCTTATCGTTCCTTCTTAATACTTTATAAGGCCCGTTATAATTTGGTGTCAATGGTTTTTTTACTAAGTCGTTTCTAATAAAAACGTGTGAACAAGACTTTAAGTCGTTGTGCACAAAAATTTTGCGAGAATCGCTATTCGCTCGTGACTTGGGTTTGTGACTACTAAGTATTAATCTCAATTTGTCAACAAATGCACACGGTGACATAGATTTCGTGCTTACCTCAGAGAAAAAATCGCCAGGCAGTCTTAGGTTGTGCCCTAGAACCATTTCTGCTGCGCTCACATCGCCGTCGCTTCTACATGCTGCTCTCAAACCGTATAAGGCTGTAGGTAACTCGTCTAACCATGATGCATTATCTGCTAATCTGGCTGAAAGTGCAACCTTTAACGAACGATGCCACCTCTCGATTTTGCCATTGCTCTGTGGGTGGTATGGAGTTGTGCGTATTTTCTGCACCCCTAACAACTTCATCAATCCGTTAAAAATGTCACTTTCGAATTGCCTACCTTGGTCTGTTGTCATTCTCACTGGACAACCAAATCGACAGATCCAGCCTTCGTAGATAGCTTTGGCGACTGTCTCTGCTGTGATGTCAACTGTAGGTATCGCTTCCGGCCATCGCGTATACCGGTCAATCATTGTTACACAATACCTATACCCTTGCGCGCTCGTGGGGAGCGGGCCTATTATGTCAACATGTATATGTTCGAATCTACCACTAAAAGGAAAAGTTTGCCAATCAGAAACGGTGTGCCTATTTACTTTTACTTTCTGACATTGAATACAACATCTTGCCCAATTATTAACATCTTTATTCATTCCGGGCCAAAAAAATTTTTGTGCTATCATTTTCCTAGTGACTCTAATACCTGGATGGCTAATATTATGTATGGAATCAAATACTAATTTTCTAAATGTCTCTGGGACAAAAGGTCTTATGTACTTAGTTGATAACTCGCAATAAATCGGATTATTCGTACCTGGAATAGTTAATTGTTTTAACGATACCTTGCCATTGTTGTTTTCCAGTAGGTGTGTAACCTGAGAATCACCTTTCTGTGCTCGCGCAAGTTCCTCGAAGTCGATGCTCGTCGGACACCTTATCGCCTCGACTCTAGACAAGGCGTCAGCAACTGCGTTCTGTTGACCTGTAACGTGACGTATTTCGCTGACAAACTCGCTAATATACATCAAGTATCGGGTTCTCTTTGGGTTCTCGTTTTTTGCTACCTTTGTTAACGCGAATGTTAATGGTTTATGATCTGTATATACGATCAATTCTCTACCTTCGACCATATTACGAAAATGAGAAATGGCCATGTAAATTGCTAAAAGTTCGCGATCATAGGTACTGTATTTACGTTGAGTCTCTGAAAGTTGTTTTGAAAAATAACCAAGCGGTAACCAGTCGTTATCTACCCGTTGTTGCAAAACTGCGCCCACACACGTATTGGACGCGTCCGTCATAAGAGATAACGGTACCTCAGCTACTGGGTGCGATATTGTAGTGGCATTCCTAAGGCTCATTTTACACTGCTCAAAAGCAAACTCGGCTTCATTATTCCAATTTATTTTAGTCTTATCTTTTTTCTTTGCCCCATGTAAAAATTTATTTAGCTCTGCCTGGTTTTGAGCTGCGTTTTTTATATGAGACCTGTAAAAATTTAACATGCCGAGGAATCGACGAAGTTCTTCGACAGTTCTCGGTTTCGGATAGTCTGAGATTGCCCTTATTTTATCCTCCAGTGGACTTATACCAGCTGGTGTGACTTTATAGCCTAAAAAATCGATTTCTTGTTTACCACAACATGATTTACTTAAATTAATAGTTATGCCATACTCATTGAATTTTTTAAATAACTGCCTTAAGTGTGCCTTGTGCACGCTTTCAGTGGTTGAGGCTATAATGACATCGTCAATATAACAAAATAAAAATGATTCTTCCCCGTTTGGATTTTGAAAATATTCTGACCCTTGTAACATAGAATTCATAAAACGTTGGAAAGTTTGAGCGGCATTTCTTAGACCAAATGTCATTTGTGGAAATTCGAAAAGGCCAAACGGGGTAATTATAGCGGTCTTTTCGATGTCTTCAGGTGCCACGGGAATATAGTGATACGCTCTATTAATATCGATTCTAGAAAATATGTTCTTACCTGTTAGTCCATATGTGAAGTCCTGTAGCCTGGGGACAGGGTATCTATCCGGTTTCGTTTTTTTGTTGAGTAGGCGGTAGTCACCGCACGGTCGAATCCCTCCATCTTTCTTCGGAACTGTGTGAAGTGGACTGGCCCAAGCGCTTTTTGACGGTCTGCATATACCTAATTCTTGCATTAATTCAAATTCGATTTTTACCTTTTTATACCTGTCCGGTGGGAGTTGTCTGGCTCTCGTATAGACGGGTGGACCTTCTGTTTCTATATGATGAAAAACGGTGTGCTTTGTTGGAACTTTAAATGAGATTGGTTTAGTAATTTCAGGATATTCCTCGAGAATATCTTTGTAAACGTTATTATTTTGTATACTGTTAATCGAGAAACAATTATAATTTACAACGGACCCAATAGAGTACAAGTTTGTTACAGAATCTATTAATTTCTTATTATGTAAATCTACCAATAACTTGTGTGACTTAAGAAAATCTGCACCTAAAATAGCATGCTTAACGTCAGCAATTATAAATGACCAGCGATATGGTCTTCTTAGTCCCAAATTTAACTCTAATATTTTAATACCAAAAGTTCTAATTTCTGTGTCATTAGCTGCAAAAAGTTTATAGTTACACTGGCTTCGTTCTTTTACACTCACTTTACTCACTGGTATGACAGATACGTTAGCACCGGTGTCTACGAGGAAAATAAGTCTATTCTTGTTGTCGTTGATGCAAAGTCGGTGGTTGTCGCTCAGGTCAGTGCAGGTTTCCACCTCAGCCTGCACTGCACCTAGTTTCCCTCACTGCCCTTCCAGTTGCACGGTTGCTCACAGCGCGTCGCCTTGCTCTTGAACCTGTAATGGTACCTGCACAGCCATCCGGGGTCTTCTGGTGCTCTGCGCTTAAGGGAACGGGATCTGCTCCTGTATTTCGGTCTGCTCCTGCTCCTAGGACGCCTGCTGCTCTGGACCTCGCTACGCAATGATGCTACCTCCAAAGCAAGTTTGTTCATTTGGTTGACCAACCCTGCCAGTGGTTCTGGTGACACCTGGGCTATGCTGTTATCCACCGTGGCCATTTCGTAGGATCTACTGTTCTCAACGATCTTGTCCGCAATGGCAGCCAAGCTATCTAGGGATTGGTCTTGGCACACTGCAATGACTGCCCTGACTGAAGATGGCATACGGGATAACCAGAGGCTCTTCAAGGTCTGATCTGAGACCTGTGCTGGGCGGCCTAACTCTTTCATGCGGCGTAATAAGTGCGTAGGTTTCTGAGCACCCAGCTCTAATTCAGAAACGAGCTTTTGGAACTGGCGCTCGGCACTCTCTTCGTACACCTGTAGGAGCCTTTCTTTCAGCGCAGTATACTTGTTTTCAGCAGGTGGCGAGGTAAGTAAGTCGCTCACTTGCTGGATTGAGTCTCTTCCCAGTTTAGCGATGACCATGTTGAATTTCGCTTCTTCCCCTTGTTTCTGAGGGGCCATTACGGCTTCAAACTGCGCGAACCAAAGCCGCGGCATGTCCACCCAGAAATCTGGCAATTTATTTGATACTCCTATGGCTGCTAGAGTCATGCCTGGTGAATCTGTATCCTCTTCTTTTAGAACCGGTGGCATTGCTTGCCCACCTACGGATCGCAT